TTGCTAAGAAAGTCTTCAGTGGATGGTTCAGTGGTGCATCGCCGTTTATTTGTGTAAGCGAAACAGCATGTCGAACAGAGGCACTAGAAACAGCTTGCTGTAATTACCCCCCCCCTCAGTTAGATAGTGGAAGAACTAATAATGATGTTAATAATTTGGCCCGGAATCAATTAGAATTTCAGTGACCATTCAATGCAGTTTCGCACTTCAGTCTGAACACCGAAGAGCACCACGCGATCGCGCCTTCGGTCGGCCGGATCGGCCCCGGGCAACGTTTTTCTTCGACGTCTTAGATTCGTCGTTGAAACCGCCTTATGTGGCGCTGCCCAGGCTGACGCTAATGCTTATTGACGTTCACGATTTACCCGGAATGAAGATTGATATGTTTATCACTATCACGCATATTTCTGACAAATAGGCTTAATGGAGATTTATTCGAAACGACAGGCCCCAGCTCCGTCGACGGACGATGGCAGAAAGCTCTGTCAAACCGCTCTGCCATCGAAACACTACTCGAGCCGACCGGACCGGACCGCCGACCGAAGCGATCGACCCGATCGATGCCCGAGCGAGCGAGTGAACGCGAGTTTTCGCACCTCACCCTGAAGCCCCCCGCCCGTCCCGTCAAACCCGTTTCCACAATCGCACCTCGATGGAACCTTCACCTAATCCGATACTAACTCTATACGATGACCGCTGGCCGTAGCAGCACCGATCCTCTGACGACATTTTTGGACTGTTGCTAACTATACATAATTATACAAATGATGGACGCGCGCGAGATGATCAGAAACTTGTATCCACAGCCACTGCGTCAGGTTAAAAGTATCCATAAATAGTGAGGCATTAACTCTTCGATTTCCACGTTACAAACGAACGAGTCTCGATCACGGTCCGCCAGCAGAAAGAGCGATAACTAAAATTTTATCAGTGAAGAGGAATGCACTTCAAGGATGAAAATGGAGCCTACACACTCACTAAGACCTTCTTATTGGCCATTGGAAAGCATCGACTGGTATTCATGCCCGCTTATAACGGTGACAGGTCGGATGAAGGGCTGTTAAACTGAGGAGAGGTCCTGAGTCAAATGAGAGGGTGTGGGTAGAGAGGATTGCATCAAGTGTGCCTTACCATGCAGAAAATGTCCAAAAATGGCATGCAAAATCGTGTTCACGGTTGCAAGTAGTCGCATACTGACCAATCAGCATCAAATCATTTGAGCAATGTACGAAAAACGCATATCTGTTTCAGGAAAATATATTTATGAGCTATGATTTAATTTCTGTGCTTCAATGCATCGAAAGTTTCCGAAAGTAAAAGGCACATTTTACTTTAGTAGTACTGCCGGTACTTACAAGGTGGTATGGTGGTAGATGATTATATTCTGCACTATGTTGCGTCGCTTTCCGTAGTTTCTAAACTTTCTCTAGAATCAGTGGATGTAGTTTGGTTTTATTTTTCATTATGTCATTTAAAGAGTCCATCATCCACATCGTTGTTTTGTTTAATTCGACTGATAACCGTCCAAGCGTTGCAGTAAAAGTGATCCTTCCAGCTTAGGTGTCATGCCTAACAAGAACATGGTCGAAATTTAATATTTTTGCTTCAGCATATTCATGAACGTATGCTGTATAACAATTATACATCACAATTGCAATTATCATACATAAAATGTATTCATTTTTTACCTATACCTTTTGCGAGCATATCGTTTAAGTTCAAGCTGAAAGGCCAATGTATGCCAGCGTCTGAGCCTTTTCTACTTCCGCCGTATCACCGTTTTATTTGTCGAGCGAGTATCCAGGAGTAAGATGATCCGTATCTGATTATCAATTGTCCGGATTTACATCGGTCCATGAATTTCCGTATGTGCATGTTGTAGGCACATCTGCCATGTCTTCTCTTCTCATGCGAATTCTGTAATAAACACGGTGAAAGTGCTTACGTCATAAATCGTCGAGGAGGATTAATATGACTCGTGCAAAACCTAATGATGCACTGAGTGTGCTGCCTCCTCTCCCTCCTCTAGTGACAAGGAAGAGAGGTGTTATTTAAAACAGGAGAACGTCGATTGCTAGATATCGCCATATGTTACATTATACAGCGAAGATGCTTGGTTTGTAGGCACTCGAGAGACAGCGTTTACCCACGCCATTCTGTCTGCCGGTGTCTCGCACGAGATCAGTCGCACCTGTCGTCTGGGTCTTCTAAGCAGCTGCGGCTGCAACCAGGAAAAGCGGCCGTCAAACCTTCACCGGTCATGGGTGTGGGGTGGCTGCGGCGACAACATCAACTACGGCTACCAGTTCACGCTGAACTTCATTGACATCTGCGAACGAGAGTACGACTACCCGAAGCACAGCAAGGAGTACGCCAGGTCACTGATGAACAGGTGGAACAACGAGGTTGGAAGAAAGGTACACAAGTTTTGAAAGGCTTTCGCCTTCGAGTTATAATATTTCTCGATTGTTCCTGTTTCGTACGGTACAGCAAGGAGGCAAATGTTATAATGCTTACAGTTAGCACTTCAGTTTTGATAGCCACTCTTCCTCGGCCACGATGACCACGTAAAATGATTTTGTCCCACCGCCGAGGTAGGCGCAGATGTGACAATGGAGGGTGATCTGTTCGGGACCATTGCCGGAACGCCATATTAACAG